TCCCATCCCAGTCCATCCCAGTCCATCCCAGTCCATCCCAGTATCCCCAGTTTCCCATCCCAGTTCAGGCGCGTGATGAAATCGTCCGTGTGCTACGGGCGGAACTGAACCTCTAAAAAAAAAAATTAGGAAAAAAATCAGGACAAAAATGGGAAAAAAATCAGGACAAAAATGGGAAAAAAGCCAGCAAAAAATCAGGAAAAAGTTGGGAAAATTAGGTCAGAAATTATCAGGATTCTCTGTGATCTCAGGGTGTTCCAGGAATCATCACCAGATCCTAAAGAGAGTTCACCAAAATCCTACAAAAACCACAAAATCATCACCGGGATCCCATCCCAGTCCATCCCAGTCCATCCCAGTATCCCCAGTTTCCCATCCCAGTTCAGGCGCGTGATGGAATCGTCCGTGCGCTACGGGCGGAACTGAACCTCTGGAAAAAATTGGGAAAAAAATGGTGAAATTATGGAAAATCTGAAAAAAACGGGAAAAAAATCAGGAAGAAGTTGGGAAAAATCAGGAAAAAGTTGGGAAAAAAATCAGGAAAAAATCGGGAAAAAAATCAGGAAGAAAATGGGAAAAAAATCAGGAAAAATCAAGAAAAAGTTGGGAAAATTAGGTCAGAAATTATCAGGATTCACTGTGATCTCAGGGTGCTCCAGGAATCAACACTGGATCCCAAATAAGGTTGTTATCCTATAAAAACCCCAAAATCATCACCAGTTTCCCATCCCAGTCCATCCCAGTATCCCCAGTTTCCCATCCCAGTTCAGGCGGGTGATGGAATCGTCCGTGCGCTACGGGCGGAACTGAACCTCTGGGAGACAGAAAAAATGGGGAAAAGTTACAAAAAAATGGGAAAAAAATCAGGAAAAAAATGGGAAAAAATCAGGAAAAAAATGGGAAAAAAAATCAGGAAAAAACAGGAAAAAGTTGGGAAAATTAGGTCAGAAATTATCAGGATTCACTACGATCTCAGGGTGTTCCAGGAATCGTCAACAGATCCTAAAGAGGGTTCATCAAAATCCTACAAAAATCCCGGAATTTTCCCCATTATCCTATCCCAGTCCATCCCAGTATCCCCAGTTTCCCATCCCAGTCCATCCCAGTATCCCCAGTTTCCTCAATTTCCCATCCCAGTCCATCCCAGTCCATCCCAATCCATCCCAGTAT